AAAAAAAAAAAAAAAAGCTAATTGCTCTCTATGAACAACTTTTGAATTAGCTTGGGGAGACGCTCAGTTTTTGGAAAAGTCTTGGGAGCGCTGATAAAATAAGTATGCTTTGGTTCATCCAGAGCTGCATCTGGATGACGGTCGGATTTGGTGGGACTTCCTTTTAAATCTATCAACACAGAAAGCACAGATGCTGGGCAATGGGCAGTGACAGTCCAGGCTCTGTGCTGGAGGTAAGGGAGGATGATGAACAGGGTTTCTAAGGCTGAAGTAAACATGATTTCCTCAATGTTCGTAGGGAAGCGGCCGTTCCAACAGCTGCAGTTCTGAATTCTCCCGAGTGGTGCAGGACTTTACACGAGTGAATAAAGTGAATGTGATTAGTCGATTATCAAGGGGGCGGGATTTTTGTGGCGTAAGGTTCGCAAGCTTTTTAGTTGTGGTTAGCTTCTTGCTAACCAGTTAGCAACTTAGTGCTATTCCCAATGGGAAATTACATTAGGACCAAGTAGCACTTAGCAACTACACTGTCAAGGAACGCTATGGACAGCGGAAACATGCAAGAGGAGGAGAGTTTAGTGTCAGAGGTCGTGGAAGAGTCTCCTCCATAATACATTTTTTATTTAGAGGAGGAAAGCAGGGACGAAGTTGTTGTGGAAGAGGACGGCCAGGGCGGCAGAAGCTTGGTTTGGTGTAGAAGGCTTACAGCCGTACATGTTTGAGCCCTTGCCTTAAAACGCTGCCAGTTATGTTAGCTTTTCAGCTGTTTCGTATATATGAGCTGCGACATATGAATCAAGATTATATGACCGAAGAAATTTGATTGACAGATGATCATTGATATATGATTGGCCGAATTTAGATGTTCAGGCTGACATATAACTAACTGGCCTCCATAAATAAAAAAACACAGATTTTAAGACAGGTTATTTTTTTTAAATAGAATTTTTTGGGACAATATCGTCTGTTAAAAGGTACATTAATATTTATGTTTAAGCCAGAATGATTTGAAATTTAAATATGACTGTCCTACAACTTTCCTTTAACTGAAAGAAGCTTTGCCTTGGCTGCTACTCTTCAACCTATGTCACAACAAGTCCCTGATTGGTGCCACGGCGCGATTTCAAAGAAAAGCTCTGAATTTTCAACTTCACCGATCATCCCTTCTCTCTCCGTGCGATGCTGCTGTTTGACAACACCCCAGTTCTATCTAGTAGCATGAGGTGAGAGCGGAGCTGCGAACGCTCTCAGCTTGTGGGATTCACCGCTGGCCTCTTAACCGCCCTTCACCACGCAGTTTATTTAGGGGTACAATGTAAATCCACTGCCCTGGCTGTGGACACCAAGCTCGGTCTGCCAACCTTCCAACAAACTACATATAAAAATCCACTTTTTAAATAAGGAAACAAAATATTTCTAACACCAGATTTGGACTGGAAAAACAACTGATATTTAGGATTAAAAGGCAGAAAAGATCTTTGAATTTTTATCATTTATGAGAATTAAAGTTAATGATTACATTAATCTAAAAAAGTAATATGTATTGGTGCATCATATTTGTTAGGTAATCGATGAAAGATAATCTGCATAAGCATTACTCTTTGGGGTATTGTTATAAACCCCTTCCCAAAGAAGTATATTTGGAGAGAAAACAAAACAGTTGGGTTTCTGTACTTTTACAACCCTCTAACTAAGCCAGACCAGAACTAAGAAGCATTAACACCCAAATATTCAGGATTCCGATTTAACATTTAACATGCTTAAACATTTGTTGCAGTTGATCCGTGAATTGGGGAATATCAATGTGAAGAAGAAGGAGCCTCCTTTCTGTTATCCATACAGTCTAAAGGCCAGGGTGTTGGTGCTTTCACATCTGGCCCGCATGGAGGTGTCAGAGGAGTTAGAGGAAGGTAGGACTGACTGATGTGTTTAAATATGTTTGACATAAAGTTCTTAAACTTCTTTAAATGTAAAGCTTTTATGAAGCTTCTGGTTTGTAGCTAAATTAATACTGTATTTTCCAACCAGGCTCTCAGTTGGGTTGTACTTCTGTTAATATAAATTTGTGCACTGCAGGCATATGTCTATAAAAGTCTCTGGAGTAGCAGAAGTGCCTGAGATCTTAAAGGCTCTGGTTGGGTAATAAAGAAAGTAGCTCTGGTTGTTGAGGCTTAATGAGCTTTAAATAAACTGGAAGAAATTAAAACACACTAAAGGGAAAGTCATTAGACATTCTAGTCATGCAGAAATAAGATCACATTTCTTCTATTAGCTATGTTTAAAGGTCATTTAAAGTAAAAATTGTTTACATTAGGAAACAGTGAGCAAGTTGTGTATGTTTCTTCATCAGATCAGAGATTTGTGTTGAGGAAGACTCCAGCTCTCCTCCAGGAGATGATCAACATAGGCTGCCAGCTCACCATGATGGCAAACAGCAGAGGAGGTTCACACAGCCTGATTACCGAACTCAATCAGCATCATGATGTCTGGGTTTTCTTTCCTTTATAAATCAGCTGTGCACTTGTTACCTCATTTACAGCTTTCCACGCTCCCAGACTGACAACCATTGAGAATTTTATGAAGCTGACCCAAATGATCGTGCAGGGCCTGCAGGAGTCCAAGTCACCGCTGCTGCAACTGCCTCATTTCGAAGAGGAGAATCTCCGCTACTGCATTTCAAAGAAGGTACCCATCAACACCTTTATTGGTCTCTGTCTTAAGTTTCAGTCTGTATCAGCAGATAACCAGGGCTTCAACGAATGTGGACATCCAAACACTGTAGAGGAGTTCTAGTAGTCTGCCATGTAATGCAACAGAGGCTTTAGTAAAGCTGTTCTGTTGTGTTACCTGGTAGTGCCGCTGGTCCCAGTTTCTGGTTCCTCTTGATTTTTAACATTCTTTCTAACTGGTCGATGCAATGCAGCAAATATTAACCATATAAGTAGAAACTGTTTTTGCTTTGATATTAGAAACATATTTCAAACAAACATCAGCCTAATACAGAATATACGGATGTTAAAAGGCACCAGTCATATGAATTATACTTTTAACTAGAGAACACCTTGGATTTTCTCTTTGATGGTAGAAACTGCAAAACAAGGAGTTATTTTTAGCTTGAAGCTCACTCAAAAACCCCTTTTAGATGCCGCCTTTTTTTTTTTTACACTTTCTAACTGATCTAGGTTTAAATGGCACAATTATTATTATTATTTTTATATATAGACCCTTTGTTTAGCATTACAAAATACCACTTAAACATCTTTGTAATATTTTATTTATCAAATTCTTCTTTTGGGGTGAAAATTTTTTTCCGATCAGACAGAGTCGGATTAAAATCTTAAGTCTGATTTTTACATGAAACTTTCGATCTGATCAGAACTTTCTTCTGATTATTTATCTCCATGTAAACTTAACTGTTGAAAGCTGAGGAAACAGTTGTGAGCCTTTTTGCCAGTAACAATGCAAAGTCTCTTTTCACTTCTGGTGTGTGATTGAGGTCAGTCAGTTCTGGCACATCCTGCATCGGCCCTTTACTGACAGAATAGTGAAGCGTCCTATCCCATCATGATACATATCATCCAGGGACCTGGAGACTTTTGAATCCTTGATGATTTTGGAGTGTTTTCTGATCCTGTGGGGGGCGCCCTCACTCATAAAGTCTGTGAGTAATAGAGGTGTTTCATACCCCTAACTGGGTAACATATCCTCCAGGTTACAGACATTTAATGTCTTATTATATAAGCTGTTTAAATGCAATTAAGTTTTTTTTATAAATATGTATTTAATAACTTTTAAAGCACATTTTTTACTATATTTATTCATCTAATATAATTTAGAACATCATAAACAACAACTCTAAACGCACAATGTATGTCCCTTTTTAAGCAGGCTGCCATTTTGTTTTTTAAAGGAATGAATCGGTTATATTTTAATGCCAGTATAAGTTCACATGACCTTATTATTCTCGGTGCAGGTGGTTGATCAACCTTTTGCACACAGCCTGTCCAATGACCATATCTCCTAGAATACAAAAAACATTTAATGGTTAATTCTATAAGGACAACCAATGTTTTCTGTGATACACTGAGGAGGCATTCTCTTCCTGTTCCCTTCAGTATAAGGTGCGGTCCCTGCAGGACCTGGTCAGTCTAAAGGACTCAGACCGACGCAACATGCTGCGTTTCCTCGGGGAGGAGAAGTACGATGAGGTCATTGCTGTGCTGGGCAGCTTCCCTCATATCACCATGGACATCAAGCTCCAGGGTTAGTCTTAATGCTCAATCCATGATAAAACCATTTCATTTAAATTGAATTTCCTTGTCAGGAAACATGTTTGAAAGATTAGACAAATTAATGCGATGCCGTCTTTTTCTTGGCCCAATATTTGACGTTTTGTTTTAATTCAGCAGTTTCTCTTCCTTTTCATTTACAGTCCTTGATGATGAAGACAGCCATAACATCACCGCAGGCTCAATCGTCACAGTAACTGTTACCTTAACCAGAAAGCGTATGGCAGTGAGTATTTCATTTGGCTTAACACTTTGAGTTAATAGAAAGAAATTGCTTTGTTGAGCATACTCTATGTATGTTCAACCCTAGAGGGTGCTGTTTAACCTATCTAAATGCTGCTATCTGTTTGTAGGATATGTTTGAGAAGGAGCAGGAAGCATCAACATGTCAAGGAGAAGAGGCTACCAATACAGAGGAAGCAGTAAGGATACCATAGCAACTTTGATCTGCAGATAGAAAAAGTTTTTTTTAACATTTTACCTTCAATAAAACACAACTATGAATCGTGTCTGGTTTTAATCAGGGAGACACGAATAAGGCCAAAACAAAAGTTTGGCAAAACAAGAATAAAGGGGCCAAAAAGACAGCCAAGTCCAAGAAGAAGAAATTGACCAAGAAAAAAGCCACGCCTGCTCCTATTAAAGCCAAGCAGGCTAACGGCAATGTGGCAGGAAATGTAAGCATCCCCAAATCTTGTCTGAAAGAATCTCCTTCCGACAATGTCAACCGTCTGGGATCAGTTTATTGTTCCGTCTCTGCTCTCAGGAAACGGCCGCTGTAGCATCATCTGCAGCATCCGCAACGAAAGAGGAAGATGATGAAGCCTCAGATAAGGGCAGCGAGTCAGAGGAAGGTGAAGCCAACAAGGACTCTCCCAGCGAAAGAGACGATGAAAGCGACAAACAGAGCGACACTGAGGTTGATGAGGGTGCTGGAGACGACGAAGAGGTCGGCATGATTGTTTTTATTCTCAGATTCTTATTAGATTGTCATAACGACTGAGTAGTGATTGTTCTTCATCCAACCTTTTAGGAGTGGGAGGCACTGCAGCAGAGCATCCAGCGGCGAGAACGGGCGCTGCTGGAAACGAAGTCGAAGGTGACGCATTCGGCCTATAGCCTTTACTTCCCAGAAGAGAAGCAAGAGTGGTGGTGGCTGTACATCGCTGATCGCCGAGATCAGACACTCGTCTCTATGCCCTACCACGTCTGCACGCTAAAAGACTCTGAAGAGGTGAGACCTTCAAGAAGAGATGCTGTACAAAATATCAACAAAAAACCAACAAATTTAGATTTTCCTCTTATGGCAACCTTGGTTTAAAAACATTATGTCATCTAGTGTCGCAAGTAATTCTTATTTCGCTAATCGATTAATCTGTGGATTATTTTCTTGATTAAATGATTAATAATCAAATATCAAAAGGTTGCTCAAAGATTTTTTTTTACTGTCTAAGTCTTAAGAATCAAACCAGGTGAAACAAAAAAAAATATATATTTTTTTCATCTTAAATGAAAAATGTTTATATACTATAATATATTTATAATTTTGGTATAATTCCTGCTCCAAGTATGTTGCTCTGTCAACTAAAGGCATATTTTACAGTCTCTATACTCCAGTTAACGATTAATAAATAACTGAATTAGTTGACGGTTATTTCAATAATCGATTGTTTCAGCCTTAATGGCATGACAGCTGTTTTTTGTAAAATCGATAGTTTGCTTCTTTCTTTGTTTTCTGTGAAGGATAACTGAAAAATCAGCTGTTGACTGCAATGATGACTTTTCAACAGTTCAATCTGGTAATCAACTTGTAGGAACTACAGAGCCAATCTTATCTTACTGTCAGTGAACGCATCATGCTAACACATTAGTCTGACAACGCTCTTTAGTTTGGAAGTTGTGATCTAAAGTTGCCTTCAGTATTAGTGTGATGCTTTGAAAAGAAAGTCGGAGGAAGATGCCATCTTCCTCCGACATCTTTGAGTTTAAGGGTCCATTTAGTCTTTTTTTGCCTCTGATTTGGTTTAAAACAAGTATTTTACGGTCTAGCCACCTTAAACCATGAAGCGTGCAAAGCAATGTAATTTATTGGAGTTTTTAGGTTATTTTGTTTAAATGAACTTCTAATCAGTGTATCTTCAGCTTTTCTTTACACCTTACTCATCTACATTTCCTGACATGTTGCTAGACAAACCTTTGCAGTTGCCATTTTTCCCTCTGGGGAGTTTGTGTTTATCTTAAAGTGCTTCCCCTCTCAGTCTGGTGTTCTCTAACAACAAGCCAGATTGACAGCAGGGTAAAAACTTAATGAGGGCCCTGCTGGAACGCTGCGCAGCCAGCTGTCACAGCTCAGAACGGACGGGACGGCAGGAGCCACCCCCTTTCATGCATGATGGGTCAATGGCTACCAATCAGTCTGTCACCTCAACAGTTTCTCCTGTTTGCATCGTGAGATTTATATCCTGCATTTGCGAGGAGTGTGTTTCCTGAAATCTAGATTGGCTGCTTTCCCAGGTTGTTTACAGGCAGCTATATTCAGTTTGCTTACGCTGAATAATGAATAGCCTCATTGTGCTGATAATTACATGTTTACTCTGTAATTGCACAACCTTGCAATTGCAACCTCATAGGATTGATACAAATTATTCAGACGTCATTATCACCATAAGTTTAATTAGTGATTGCATACATCCCTGCCTCTTCCTTCTAAAAGGCACATTCTAAAAGGTCTAAAAGGCCCACCATTTTTTTTTCTCTCTTAGCTACGGCAAAATGTTTTTTATTTATTTTTTTTCCTAATATTTTTGGAATGTGATTAAACTATTATAGCTTCAGGTATAATGGTAAATTAATTATCTTAAACCAACTTCTCTATGTCTAAGCTGACGAGAGGAACACATTCTATTAGGAACAAAGCAGTGTTGGCATGTTTTATGGAAAATACATAAATTGTCTAAAGTCAGATTCCTCTTTGCAAACCAAATAATGACATTTTTTTCAGTAGTTTTTTTTGTGACTTATTGAGGATAATAAGAGGCTGGAATTAACACTAGTGTAAAATGGAAAAACAGCTAAAATTTAAGTTTGGAGCGATCTCAAATCACACATCAGTAGATCAGATTAGACTAGCCTGGTTAATCTGGCACCAATGACAGGTCACTGGATTAATTTCTGGTTTATTATCAGAGCAGAAGAACTTAGTAAGGGGGAGAGGGGATTGTCCTGGACCAAGGAGAGCTCAGTTGCCTACCAAGAAAAATGGCTGGTTTGTGACCAGCTGTTAAATACGGAAGAGGATTAGGGCCACTGAAAAAAAAAAAAAGTTTACTGATTTTAAAATTCTATTTCAGTTTAGTATGGGAATTTAGAATGGGAATTCTGACTTTTTTTATTGTCAGAATTCAGTCAGAATTCTGAGATTAAAGTCACAATTCTGAGAACAAAAGTCAGAATTCTGAGATTAAAGTCAGAAGTCTGAAAAAAAAAGTCAGAATTCTGACTTTTTTCCCATACTAAACATCCCATACAACACAATCATTTAACTTTTTTTTGTCTTTTTCTTTTTTTTTTCCCCCAGTGGCCCTAATCCTCTTCCGTAGTTAAACAAATATTTTAGCTGGGAATAAAAAAACAACAACTGATTATTGAAGTGGCCTAGTCATGTAAAAAAACATATTTATCTTAAAATAAAACATAAGAAAACTGTTTGTCCTGATAGTGTTAAGTTAGTCCTTTTTTTGCCTGAAAAGACTTTTGCACCTGTGGTGACTAGCAACTATAAAGATTGTTGTGCGCCATCTGCTGGCAGTTCCAGTTCCATCCACCTGCAGCTTAAGCTAGCTCCCTCTGTAGTTCATTTCGAGCACTACTCATATCTTATCCCTCTTTGCATGATATGCTGTTTTGTTGTTTCCTTTTTGACCATCATTCTTTTCCTACCTCTGCTGAGAAATGCTGACTTGCTTTGCTCCGTTTCTGCTTGTTTACTCGTTGCATATGCTTTATCATTACTCTGGTCAGAAGGAAAACGCAAAACTCTTTAAGTTTTCTAACAAATGGAACAAAAAAGTTGGTAATAGACAGAAATGAAATATAATAAGCCAACAGAGTGCCATAATATAATCAGAAAGCTTTTTTGCAAAGTCATAGTAAGTGACGTCCCTTTAAAATATCCTAGTGCTGCATTAAATCTCACCTCAGTAGATTTAATGCAGCGCTGAGATATTCTCAAATGGTGCTCCTCCTACAGGACCTTTAGAAAATAGCCCTGTTGTAAACACTGACTGTCCATGTGACCTTTTTACCCCTCATCTACCGATTCTATTTTTTTTTTTTTTTTTGTGGCTTGCTCTGCTGTGTCAAAAGCCTCCAAAATCTAAAAGCATTCTATGATCTCTTAGAATAGTGGAGTGGGGGTGTGTGGCTATTGATGCCAATGGCATTAAATTAGGCTGTCTTAAAGCTTTTTGTTTCTGCAAGAGATCAGAGCTGCGAGACTACCAACCATTCGAGGCGTAGAAGGTTGCAAATATGAATTTTCCCGTCAGAGATAATATGGAGAGATGATAGACCCCAATGTCGTCTCATAAACACTTAGATTATCACTGCAGGGGCTTAAAAGGGATTTATGAAGGTAAAAATATTATTTGGCACTGCTTTAAGTATGTAAAAGTAAGGTGTCAAGTCATCCTTTATGCCTTTTCTGTGGAGATCATTGACATCTTTTTGATTTAAAATTAAGAGTCAAGATCCTAATCTTAAAATCCATTGAGTCAGGGATCATTTAGGGGTTTTGGATGTTTGTTTTTTTTATTGTTGTTTTTTTGTTTAAATGTTGATGATTACATGTTTCTTTTTTTGTTAATTTTTCAGGTGGAGCTAAAGTTTCCAGCCCCATCCAAAAGGGGCAACTATCAGTACTCAGTCATCCTCCGTTCCGATTCCTACCTGGGCCTAGATCAGATCAAACCACTGAAGGTAACAGATGCTTTTATGCATAAGTTAAATAGTTATTTTATCTTTTAATTTTTCTTGCGATGTTTCCTGCAAAGATATTATCAATTTTTTTTTACATATTTAAAATTCTACCCAGACTGCATAAATGATCAAATGATAGCACTTCCTTATTTAAAGCAATGTTCAAAAGAAATATTATATGAAGAACTGTAATGTATTATAAGTTAAAAAGATTGATGCTGATAACCTCTGCTAGATTTCAAACTGTTTAAGTTATGTATTTTATGGGGATATTAAGTCATGAATATTAAAGTGCAACGAGCCAGAGAGAAGTGATGGCGCATCAGCTTTTAGAGGGAATGTCATTTCTAAGTGGAACATCTGAAGCACTGCAGGAGTTAATTTGGATGTCTCAATGCAGCTCACTAAGGGAGTTACTCTTATATTTCAACTGATGACCTGATATTAGGTATATGCTTATCAGAGAGCTAAATAAACAACACATTTCCTCAAACATTGCTGCACCTTTTATAAATGACTATTTAGGTACTGTCTTCTGAAACAAAAGTTTTTATTTTCAGCATATTTGGATGCTCCAATGCTTAAGATAAATAACAATACTGAAGAATATAAGTAATCCAACTAAACATTGATATACATAAAAAAAGCACTTTAAAATACAAGTAAAATAGAATTTGGAGGAAGAAAAGGATTTAGGGCAGCAGCGCTATTTAATTCCCCTTCCACTAGCAATTGTGATAATGATTTCTACTCCAAGTTTGGAAAAACGTTTTGCTGTTTAAACACCGATTCAGCTTAATGTGCTGCTGAGTTTTGAAGATCGGACACCATTGTCAGATCTAAAGAGGCTGGAGCCTTCAAAAAGATTGTAGCATTTTCTTTTTTGATAATTGGATTTTAAGACATGTTTGTACCAAAAACAGTCTAAGTGTTAAATGTTAAAAACTCCCATCAGGCCTAGCTTTTTCATTTAAACCCTTAGCTCCCACCCCCCGGCCCTGAATCATTTTGACGTCACAGTTTGTTCCGCTAAGCAAGCTTGTCTACTAAAGCAAGACGTTGTACCTCCTTAGAATCGGGCGATCCTAAAGAAAATAACCATCTCAATTGTAAGCCAACTATACTCCACAAACACACATAACTGATATTCTGTCACCAAATTACAATTCATAATTTTCACTTCCAAAACATTTTTTATTCTGGCATAAATGGGCTAATTTTTTCCATAATACTCCACAAAAAGTAATGTCCAGTTGTTTTTCCCATGGAATAAAATCATGTCATAATAATCAAATTTATACACGTTCTTGGCACCGCGGGCTCCAAGAATACGTCGTCACTGAAAGCTGGAGCAAGGGCTTAACCAGTTAACCCTTTGATTTTAGGTGTAATATACACTTGTGTGCTTGTACCGGTAAGTGTTGAAAGACCCTGAGTAGACAATTATTTTCTAGGAAAGTGATGAAAAGTCCAGTTATCTTCATCCTAGGATTTCCTGGGCGTTTAGTTGAGCCCTAAAAGTACAAAATATTTGGAGATAAACTGACAGAAATATGTTTTTATTTTTTATATCTGTCAATTTGGAGGCCTATTGGTGTTACTGTGACAAACAAAATGCAGTGGACAATAACGCCAGTAATGCGCAGACAATTTAAAAACATAGTACGATGGTAGCATGACGGTTACAGAGAGATGGCGCCATAACATTTTGTTTCAGAGAACATGTGGAGATTGGGCCTGAAGAACATTGTAATTTATATATATTATTACTATTGTTTTAAATATTAGCAGCTCTTATGGTGTAACACAAAAATTCCCAGTTTTGTCCTGTATATGATATTTATTACTTTATTATATAGGAAATAATATTATAGAGATGTGTAACTCTTATTAAACAGAATGACGATATATATCTCAGAATAGGTGAATGTGGCAGGGAAATCAAACAGTTATTAATAAAGTAAAGTGATATTCAGTAGCCAGAAAAATTAAAGAAACCAAAAATTAACAATAGGGATTTTTTTCCCCCTTATGATTAATGATATAGGAAGAAATATATGACATTAACTAAAACAGTTTTGGTTAAAAAAGCTTCTTTCTTACCACAATGAGCCCTATGGTTTTTTTTATATATATATATAAAATCTTCATTGTGTAAAAAAATACTGAAAGTTTCTGTCAAAAGCTGGACAAAGAAAATAATTTGAGTTAGAACCAACCATAAAGCAAAAATCCTGCGAGAGGAGAAAAGGAAAAAAAATACCTTTATTACTAGTAATATGTTTCTCAGTGTATGCAGTTACTAGTAAAGGTATTTTTACAACATTTAATTTGCTATTCTATTTTTTGAATATCCTATCTATTATTTACTGCAAGATGATCTCAGCATCAGTACATTTAGAAGCTGGTGTCTTATATATTTTAAAGCAATTCTTCTTTCTGTGCGTTTTATCAGCTTGAGGTCCACGAGGCCAAGGCAATGTTGGATAACCATCCGCAGTGGGACATCCCCGACACGGAGGAGGAGGACGAGGAGCAGGAGGACAGCGACGGCATCGAGGAGAGCGACGACGAAGACGAGGACAACGACTGAAGGGGCAGACGGGGAACGTGTTCAGGCCCCTCCCCCCCGGAGCGGATGCCCATTCACTAGTGACGAGGAGAAGCCGTGCCTGCCATAAACAAAGCGAAACAAAAACCACACAATGAATAAATCACTGAGGAAAGTTTATACACCCAGAAGCCGCCACCGTTTTACTTTTCCATCATGAACTGTGACCCCACATCTGTCTCGCCCTTTCTAAAGAGACTTGTTTCATGGGGGATTTCTGTGAATACTAACAGGCCTGAGTGTGTGAGTAAATGAGTGTGTGCTGTGTAAAGTGTATGTGTTTGTACAGGAATGAGAGCAGACCAGTTTGGACTAAAGGACCTATTACTATAAAATGGGCTCTTTTCCTCGAGGCGGATAAGTAACGGCTACATCTGTTTGCAAAAACTAACTGAAACTGTATGGAGATTGTCTCCGGACTTTCTTTCAGTTTTTCAGTTTTTAAAATCGTTCTGCACCAATTTTTTCTCCACACCAGTGATACTTTCTGTTGTATATCTTATCTGCAGAGGTGAATATTAAAGAAACATTTTGTCTTTTGAGTCCAGAGGGGCACAAGTTTATTTTATTGTATTCCTTTTTAAAAGTTTTTGTTTTTCTCCTTGGCATCACAACTGATTTTTATTTGTACATTTTTATGTACTTCATATTTAGGGAGATGTCTGCGGAGAGAATGGGGAGGAAATTGTTTTTGTTGTATTAAAAAAAAGAAAAACTGCTGGATCTTGACATATTTTGCTTCAAACTAGGAGAAAATGACCAAATTTGCAGTGTTAAAAGATATGAAAAATATAAATGCCCCAGCCAAAATTTGATTGGCTATCAGTAGATCATATATTAAACAGGTTTCTTCTCCCATTTTTATTTAGTGTATCCAGATGATTTCCCTTTTATTAATGCACCTTTGGACTACAATAAAAATCTGAAAGTTTAGGGTAAAATGTTTTGATTCAGAAATGAGGGTAATCTTTTTTTTTTCCTGCTACTTAAAAACTACCTCTGTCAAAGAACCTACAGCACACGTTTTTGTTTATTTTCTCTTATCTAAATCGGAATCAGAATGTCAGAAAATGGAAATAAAAATAGTTGCCTTTTTTAACAGTTTAAATCACTTCATCTCACTCTGAAAAACAATAAAAGGCTTTTAACCTTTTGTGCCGACTAAGATGGGGATCTACTCTCGTAGAAAGGTTCTTTACAGGGTTTCCTTCTTGGTTTTTCCACATTTGTAGCACATTCCAGTGTATGTCATCGTCCTATAAGGCCTTATGAATACAACTGAAGAAGATTTGATTTATTTTCCCTGTTAAAAACAAAACAAAAAAACATCCTAAGTGTTTCTTTATAGTAAACTAAAAATCCACACTGTCTGGGTTACATATCGGTCACTTTGTCTTGAGTTAGTATAGTTGTTTTCAGATTTTCGGTTAAGTACTTAGAAGATTGAATGTGATGTTTCTGCCTGTTGGAAGTTATTTTTGGTTTCAGACTAAATGTCCTTTATTTCTGACCACAAAGCAGAACCAGCTCACGTTTGACCCTCGTTTACCAATCTGACGTTTACAATGAAAGGGAGCCGTTTTTCATTTAAAGATTTTTTTCTCCGTTAAGATGTTGAATTATGTAATCCGTCTTGGTTTGTTGTGTTCTCTTTATTTTACACCTTCTGTAAAAGATCAGAGCTTTATTATCCAACTCTGTAAACTCATTGAGTCGCTTACTTGGAAGTTTTATTTCTTACTACATTTCGTTAAGAAAAACTGTTCATTATTTTTTGTTTACCAGTACATACTGGTGACACATGTAAGTGTAGGAGATGTGTTTTTGAATATTTGAGGCCATGCTCCATCCGTAGAGCACAGGCACAGATAGTACCCCCCTCTGGTAACAGATCAGAGTAGAGTAAGACTCCAGGTACTCATACTTCTGCAACAGAATGTAGCATCCGTCAGTTTTCTGCATGGGAGGAAATTTAAACCCAAAAAGCTGCATTGAGGCTCCGCCATCCCTCCCAAGATGAACCTTATCCAGGTGAATGATAGTTTGGAGAAGCAACTACCCAAATGACTATGGATCTGCCACTTTTGTTTACAAAGAAGCTGTCATTGTAAATGGGGAAAAAATATATATAATTTGTATTTAAAATCATTTCAAATAAAATAAAAAAAAAATCAAATGAGTTTGCTTGTTTTGTATCTGAACTAGCTGGTCTTGAAACTGTTGCTAGATGTAAGAAAATATTAATTTCCTTGTTAATGCGGTGGTGTACAGTTCTAGAGATACAAGTAGGGTTTCCAAAAGTTGATGGACATGGCTGGTATCATATTAGTAAGATTTAAGAAAAATCTAACGACACATTACCAGATTATTCAGCCATAATTTGTATACAATAAATCCCTTATGCACTTTATTTTCATACTCATCAAAAAA